GTGGATTCAACTCTAAAAACCCAATGGGAGTAGAAATCAGAAGACTGGGTTCAAATACCTCAGCTCCGATGGCCAGGCATGGTGGCACACACCTGTAATCCCAGCCACCTGGGAAGTTGAGGCAAGAGGATTATAAATTCAAGGCCAGCCTGGGCAACAGAGGGAGACCCTATTCCAAAATAAAATTGAAAAAAAAGACTGGAAATGAAGCTCAGTGGTAGAGCCCCCTCAGTTCAATCCCCAGTACCACCAAAAAAACCCAAGCAGAACCACCACCATCTCACTGAGTAGGGCTAGCTTTTTCTGAAGCACACGCTGAGTCTTTCCTGAGCAGGTTACAAAGAACTCAGATCTCATAGCATTCAACTTGTCTGTCAAATCAACATCCCGCCCAGGGGAGCAAGCGGTCCACTTCTCCAGCTGGTTTTTATTCACACTAGAAACTTTAACTCTGCTCTAGGCCTCACAGAATGAGAGCTGTGTCCACACAAAGCCACAACAACCAGCCAATTCACTGAATCCAATGAAATAAGCCAATTCACTTGGGGGGATGGGGGGGGCCCACAAACTGTCAAACTGGTTACTTGGTGCCTTATAGACCAAACAATGCGTGATTGAATTGGTTAGCTTTTCAATAGGTTGTCTTGTCATGTGGCAGCTACAGTGAGTGAAAGATTTTCTTTATCATTCTTTTTTGTCTTTTTTTCTTTTTACACAAAAATAAGAACACATCAGATAAAAGGGTAAACAGCCAATAACGTCCTCTCTTTATATCGTGGTCAAACACATCAAATTCAGGACATTTGTGGAGCAAGACTCCCGAGCTTATTTCTTGGCTTTAAAATAAGAGCCGCCGATCTCAATCTCGTCTTTGCAAACGCATGGCACTGGGAGACAGAGACCATGTGCAGCACCAAAGCTTTAGACAAAGCTCTATTCACAAACCTCGCTGAAGTGCAATCACAGAGTTTCAATTTCATTCAGCGGAGTGCGGAAGGCTCCCACTGAGGGTGGGTTGCTGAATGGTTCCTCTGGGAAAAGGACCCAGAAGGAGAGTCAGCTTTACAGTCTGCACTTTCATTAGGAGAGATGAAAGCTCTTCCCTCACTCTGACTCCAGTTTCACAGCGAAGAACTAATCTAGCAAATTAGCCAAGGGCACTGGGTAATTTTTCTTTCTCCCCCATTGGTGCACTGGCACCCAGGACAGAGTTTTTTTCACTAGGGCAGTTGCCAGGGGAAGTACCAAGAAAGCAGACAAGTAACACAAGGGTTAAAATTTACACAGAGAGGAGGCATGGTGTTGGTCAGCTAGGCCAGACCAGCTGTCTCCTTTTTCTGAGTATGACATGCCTATTTCACTTTCAGGTCTCCACTCAACCCATGCCAACGCTTCAGTCTCGTTATACACCAGCCGCTAAGGCTTCCCTGGTCTGCCCAGTGTCCATTCCTCCAAACCTAAGAGGAAGGTGCTCCCTCTTTTACAGCAGGGTATGGAAAAGTGAATCATGTGTTCAAAGCCCAAGGGAGGAAACAGGGGAGCTGAGATCTGACCAGAGGCCCCCTGATTCCCAGAGCCTCAGCTGCTAATCACTATACCCCATTCTACCTGAACATCCCTAAGCCCTACTGTGGGCTCTCTGCCCACACCCAGCCTTTCCTGGGCAGAAGACCCATTTTCAGTAATTGTGTGAGTTTTGCTACCCCAACTGGGTGCTGATACCTGGGCAAGAAGGAGCTGGGCCATTCCGCACGAATATTTGGCATGGAGGAGGGACTGAGGTGTTTTCCACAACCAACTGAAGTTTCAGTGCCTGGCTTTCCCCTCACTTCAAATAAATGTCGTACTGCTTTGTCATGCCAATAAAAATCAAAGGCCAAATCCCCAACAGAGGGGCTGGCTTGGCCTTCTTTGACTTGATGGTATTTTGCTTTTCCAGTAAAACAAGTATCAATCTGCATTTTTTAAAAAATATTTTTTTTAGTTGTTAATGGACCTTTTTTTATTTATGGTCAGCATATGTGGTACTGAGAATCGAACCCAGTGCCTCACACGTGCTAGGCAAGCACTCTACCACTGCGCTACAAGTCCAACCCATCAATCTGCATTATTTTTTTTTTTTTTTTAAATATGGTGCTAGAGGGGCTAGGGCTGTAGCTCAGCAGCAGAGCACTTGCCTAGCATGTGTGAGGAACTGGGCTTGAAAAAAATTAAACAAGATAAAGGCATTCTGTCTATCTACAACTACAAAAAAAAAAGAATTAAAAAAAAATCAATTAAATAAATGTGGTGCTAGAGATTGAACCCAGTGTCTAACATGTGCTAGGCAAGTACTCTACCACTGAGCCACAACCCCAGTCCCCAGTTTGCATTCTTAATGGCAGCAATTTTGATAGGAGATTTGCTCTGGTAAAAAAGGCTTTCTTCCTCTCTGCACTAGGCTGACAAAACAGCCATGCTCAGTTCAAAAGATCATTTCTCCACTGCAGGAAAAGACAATTTCACCTTTCATTTACTCTTTTTAAAGGATATTCCTAAACTGACTTCTGGCATGCAATTACTCTTCAGCCAGAGGAATTGTTTTTATTTGACTCAAAGAGACATGGTCCACATCACTAAAGATGGGCCAGCAATCTTGGCTCCTTGCATGGGGACCTGGCAGCCCTGAGTGAGGGGGTTCCAGGTGAAGAGCTTGGCCACCAGCAAGAACACAGCCATCTCTGCAGCTCTGAGGCCAGCTGTTCCTGCTGAACCTGCAGCAGAGTGACAGCTCTTGAAAGCACAGCTTGTTTCAGAATGTATTTTAAAAGCATCACTTGCAGTATTTAAAAATGTCGCCAGAAGTCAGAAAAAATCATAATTCAGTACGCTATTATGCCACCTTCCTAATTCCCAGGTGTGCAAACACCCCACAAATTTAGAAGAATGTCACATTCAGATAGGCTCTCCTGGCAAGAGGCTTCACCGGGAGTGGAGGAGGAAAAGAAAGCCAAAATGTTTGGATTCTAGATCATTAAACGGGAGCTTTGGGAAATATTGGCAGGCTGTTTTTCTGGCTTCCTGAGTAAGGACACTTTTAATGTGTCTGCCTCCTACCAACCTTTGGAGAATAAAATAGGAAAGGCAGATCAAATGAAGGACTCCACATGGAGGAAAAGCAGAAGAATGTATTGATATCTATTATCATTTTGTGGTGGATGAGGGAGGCAGAACACCTCACACTGCCCCCTGCCCTTTCTGACACTGCACAGGTAAGAAAACTCTGGAAGATCCTGGTTAATGGTGACTGGGGAACATTGTGCACACAGTGAAGGAACATGAGGTGGATGCAATTTCCTTGGGAGGCAATGGAAACACATCCCTCCATCTCTGAGGGCACAAACTGCTGCTGAACTAGCCTCCATGTTATGTTACAAGAGAACTGTCAGCTCTCGAGACAGCCTGGACTCTAGAGCCTTCTGATTCGGTATGTCTTGTAACAGTACAAAAGTTTCTGGCAACTTTGCTTTCCACAGGTCCCTGTAATACCTCCAGACTAGTGACTTTGTTCTCTACTGTTTCACGGGAAGGAGAACAGCAAAAACTTTTGACGTAGAGAAACCATTCTGTGTATCAAGAGTTGTTGTATTTCTGTGTGGTCTCTCATCAAGATGTCTTTCTCTGGAAAGAGAGGGTATGTCCTGCTACTCTAAAAAGACTAAGTTGGGGACAGGGTACCACTTACAGATTTTTGCCCTGCAAACTACAATTCTGTGCAAAAAATTCTACTTCATCTGCTGCTATACTGGGGTCACTGCCTCTACATCTGGCAGAGCAGGCCTGGCATACATGATGCATACTGTTATCTGTTTAATCCCTTCCCATTTCCCCCCCTGTCCCACTGTGGTCCCTATGTAAAATATGAAGTACTCTTGCCAGGCATGGTGGCACACACCTGTAATCCTAGCAGCCGGGGAGGCTGAGGCATGAGGATCCTGAGTTGAAAACCAGCCTCAGCAACTTAGCAAGGCACTAAGTAACTCAGTGAGAGTTGAGTTGCATACGTAGATATTTATGGCAAACATCAAAAGTGATGAGTATAAATAAAATGTAATATATAGAAAAGGGCTGGGGATGTGATTCAATAGTAAAGTGCTCCTGGGTTCAATCCATGGTACCAAAAAAAGAAAAAAAAGAGGCTCTCACTGATAGCAGCAACTTGCTGAAGGAGACAATAAATAGAGCTAGACAGCATTTCAATTTCACAAATATGAGACTACTTTCTAACTCTCAGTGGCAAGACTCTTTTCCATTTATGTACTGAAAGCCATTCACTGCTTTATGAGTACAAATAAGCATCTAATTTCTCATTAATCTAAAATATAGCAACTTTTGTGGATCAGCAAGGGAAAGAGCATTTAAGAAATGTATGAATAATATTTATATTTAGCAGTAAGAGACTGAGGCATGTTAAGTCTACAATCTGATGCTGAAGTGACAAAGAGCAAGTATATCTTCAATGGCTTGACCACTTGGCAGGACACAAATGAGTTCTGCACCATTTGCTCATTTTGGTAATTACTGTTTTACACAAAGACAACTCAGGCTACCTATTTAAGGTCCTAACTACTTGCAAGCAGCCTGTAGTAGTGATCTTCAAAGCAAGGTCAAAGAAAAAAAATCTCTTTCTCTCTCACACACAAGAATTTTTTTTTTTAAACCAGAATAAGGGCTGGGGATGTGGCTTAAGCGGTAGCGCACTCGCCTGGTATGCGTGCGATCCAGGTTCGATCCTCAGCACCACATACCAACAAAGATGTTGTGTCCACCGAGAACTGAAAAATAAATATTAAAAAAATTCTCTCTCTATCTCTCTCCCCTCTCTCTCTCACTCTCTCTTTAAAAAAAATAATAAAATAAACCAGAATAAGTTGTCCTTGAAAAGTCATCATTATCAATCAAGCCTCCCTGAGCCAGCGCACAAATCAACCTCTATGATTCACTCTAAACTGGCATCTTACCTTAGTGTTCCTCCTTAGACTGCGAAGGATATTCCTCCTCCTCGGGTCTTCATCGGTTTCATATGGAATGACAGCATTGTCCCCTTTATAGCCCTGGGATGCCTGATCCTCCTCTTTCTTCCGAATGGGCCCCAGCTCATCATCACTCCCCACGCTGAAACTGGTTCGGTAACTAGCAAACCGCCCCAGCCGGGTGCATCTCGTCCTGTATAGCACAGGCTTGCTCACAATGGATACCTTGCGGCCTCGCTCTAGAGAACTGGTGTCCATCTCACTGTCGGAACCATTGCCACTGCCATTGGATTGGGCTTTGTTGATGTTCCGAATGGTGATGATTTTGCCTTGGGTGCTGTCATGGGGCACAGAGTATATATTTTCTTCTTCATTCCTCGGCTTCACCACAGCATCCATGGGTTCAGCATAGTCAGAAGGATCAAAGCCATCCTGAGGCAGCCAGGGACTAGAGGACACAGACTTCCTCTGTCCATCCCTATGGCCTTGGTCTAAATAAGACAGATCTCCCTTCGTGATTTCAAAATGGACAGGGGGCTTTGGTTTGACTGGTGGAGGTACTTTGTTGTTCAGTTTACTCTCAAAATTGCTCATGATGAAAGACAGCCCGTCATTTCCCTCCAGTTCCATAGAAAGTTTGGAATGGTCTTTGGACAGAGAGGGCAGTGATGTATCTTCTCGGAACAGGGTGTAAGATGGGGGCTCGATATCCTCTTCTGAATCCTGCAGGTTTGAGTTGCAGAGTGGTGAGCCGGCCCGGGGGGAGTTAAAGACCTCCTCAGTGGTGCTACAGGCCTCAGCAGCATTATCGTACATATGAGTGGCCTCAATTATGTTCTTTTTCTCCACCACATCTTTAAAAAATGGGTGAAAGATCTCAAGTTTGTGCTGGGGTTGGCTACAGGGGATACTTGTGAACCTTCCATCAATCTCTTGAGCGATCTCCTCCCCCTCTGACAGCTGTTCCCGACTTAAGTCATTGTCCAGGACGTCTATGGCGCCATCAGTGAGTGCTACAAGCTGGATAGGGATAATATCCTGCACTTCACAAAGAAAGGCACATAACATAGCCAAGGAGGCCTTGCGTTTGGCTGAATAAAAAACAATGTACCCATGAACCAACCGGCTCTTTCTGATGCTAAACGAGGAATGGTATGAGAGAATAGACAGTTCAATGCGCTTTTTGTGTAGTCCAATTGGAAGTTCAAGTAAAACAGAGTTGTTGCTCCCACAATGGGAAGACTTACAGGTTTGGGACTGAAGGACAGGAAAGAGTATATCGTCCGCACTAAAAGGATCCCCACACATCAGACACATAACAATTCGCAGATCGACATCGGCCAAATCTTTGATGCTAGCAGTAGAACTGACCAGGTTTAAGTTTCGCTTTGAGTCTAGCAGTCCTTTTAAAACTTGACTGATTTGCTTCTCGTTAATGTTCCGTCCATAACCGATGCCAGCAGAAGCTGGGTCTAGAAAGACACACTGAAGTTTGCTAGCAATTTGCTGACCTTGTTGTATTAAGCTATGCAGGGTCTCTCCACTGGTATCTCCTCTCTTGTTAACCAAAATTAATGTCAGGGGGAGGTGGACTAAATGATTATCCCGCCGGCCCAGTGTGGACTCTCTGCTTTTTTCTATACTCTCTACTACGTAGGATAGTGATTCCTTTGAATTGTAAAGGCAGAGACAGCCGTGGGGCTGAAAGGTTGGTGTCTGGAAAGAGTTCACAGGAAGCCTGACATTCCCCTCTATTGGCCTCAGGGAAAGTTCATACATTTTACCATCTATCACATACTTGTCATCATTAGTACAAAGAGCTCGAATCTCATTGGCCAACTCTCGGGCGAGGCCATCTTTGCCCAAGATAACCAAGTTGATCCTATCAATGTTGGGGTCAGAAAGTGAATTTTTCTGATTCCGGTCAGATGGTCGGATAAACCGAGAACTAATCAAGTGCTCAATCTTAGCATCCACACATGCTGGGCAGCTGGGGCAGGTCTCTTTTGTTGGGTGGTACACAAAGTGAATGTGCTTCAGAATGAGGGCATCCCGCTCTGCCTGGAGCTTTTGTAGTGCTTTAAATCGCTGTTCTTCCCCCAAGACATCCTGAATGACGCCCATCTTTTCCTTGCTGGGCTTAGCATCCAGCTCCAGCTCATAAAACAATTCTGAATATTCCAAAAGTAACTCTTGAAATTCTTCCTTTGCTTTGTCTATAATCTGCTTTTGATGTTTGCCATAAATATCCATGTATACAGATTCTTCCAGCCACTGATAGAAATCTTCATTCATAATAAAACTACGGGCCTCTTCCCAAGGTTTTCCAGGAGTTATGAAAGGCGAGGTCTCCAGGTTTTCCTTGAATGCCCTTCTCATCTCAGCTCTCTTCCTCTCATTCCTCAGCTTCTCTAAGTGGGCCTCGTAGAGCTGCTCGGCAGGGACAGTATCCATTAAGTCAAAGGGAATCCGTTCATTTTCCATGTTGTCAATGTGGCTGGTGGCATCCCATGGTGTCTCTTCAAGCACAACAAACCACTTCAAGAATTCTGGCTTAGTCTCTAATAGTTTTTTGGCTTTTATGCAGCTTAGGTGGTCTATTTCATCTAGATTAGGAATAAGAGCTTCAAAAGCTAATGGCAGGGCAGCTAGGTACAGCTTTCTCCTGCGCTCAATGTGCTCATGCTTGAGGCGATGGATGTGCTGTAGAAACAGCTTCTTGGCCTTCTGAGTCCCTTCCAGGTAGACATAGTCCTGGTACTCTGGGGAGGCCTGCATCTTTCGGCTGACACTCAACCAATTCTCATTGTGATTTTTCACAATGCGACTCACCAGCCACTCATATTTGTCTTTTGCTGTAGCTATCTGCTGGCTTTGTTGTTTGAGAGCTTCAAAATAAGGAATAATTTTTGTTTTCCCCCGACTTTTATCAATGAGTTGCACTAAGGTGCTGAAAGCCAAATCCACATTTACATTGGATCTTGCTGAGGTCTCTACAACCTGAAGGTTCTTTTTGCTTAAGGCAAAAGTATGTGCATCTCTAATGTACCGCTCGACACCCTCATCACACTTGGTCAGGACCACCACGATGGGCTTTTTTGTTTTTGCAAGCTGATTGTAGAGATTAGAGACAAACTTGAGCTGGTCATCAAAGTTCCTATTCATGCCCCTGCTAACATCAATACCAAGAAGAAAACCATCCACCAGCAGCTTTCCATCTGGCATTTGTTTCTGCTCAAAGTCCTGTTCCAGCCCCAGCTGGTCAGTGCAAAAGTACATGAGTTTTTCAGCTGATGCAAGCTTGGTTGCAGCAGCTCTCTTGATGTAGGGCTGCAGGGCCGTGCTTCGATGAGGTTGAAAAGTCTGATCATCAATAAATTCAGTCTGTTCCACAATGTGCATCTTACATTCCACACAATCCTCCAGGGAGCGGCCAACTTCTCCCCAGTAGAGAAAGTGGTCATTATTGACCACTCGCCCACCAAAGTCACTGGTGCTGAGGACAGAGGTATGGTCCAAGTGAAACTCATCAGCACTTGGGCGCACAAAGCGGTTACAGAGACAAGACTTCCCAATGCCACACTGGCCTTTCTCCTTCTCGGTCCCAGACAATCCCACCACACTGATGTTGTAGGTGGGAATGCGGACATCTTGCTTTCTTGCCATCATCATCGTCGACACATCCTGCCACAAACAGCCACTTCCAAGATCAGATTAGTGTTTTCCAGTAGAGTGGAGGGCTTCTCAACATTACCAGTGGAGAATGGCTGCCCAATAAGCATGAGTGCCAGGTCCCATAGTGCTTGTGTACCACTATGAGGTCAGTTTTCACAACTTCTCATCGCCAAATTGCCAACATTTCTTCCTAGATGAAGGAAAACAAAGAAAAGCCATCAGCATCATTTTGAAACCTAGTTTTAATCACTGAACCATAACAAATTTTTTAAAAATATTTTTTTAGTTGTAGATGGACACAATATCTTTATTTTATTAATTTATTTTTACGTGGTGCTAAGGATCGAACCCAGTGCCTCATGCTTGCAAAGCAAGCACTCTACCATTGAGCTACAGCCCAGCCCCATAACAACATTTTTTAACTCAATAAATGTTTAGTCAATGCCTAATGTGCTAGGCCTTATGCCAAGGGAAGATATTGGCAAATAAGACTGACATCTATGCACTCTCAAAGAAGTAGAATCTAGACTAAGACAGGAAAATATAAAATATTTTTATATTATATAAAAATAATATAAATGCTGAAGAAAGATTGTGAGGGCTCCTTCAAAGAATGACTGCTTCCAGGGATAGGACAGGGTGGGTACAAGATCAGCCAGAAATATCTTGTCCAAAAAAAACTGATGGGGCATCTTGCAAAGACTGGGTGTCATCAGAGTGGCTCCCAGTGGCCAGGTCTGGGACAATTTGAATGTCAAATAATGACATGTTGCTAAAGAAGCCAAGTTCCATACTTCAGTAGAAACAAGTAGAGCATTCAAGGAAAAAAGAGATAAACCTTCCCCATCCCTCCACTTCCCTAGGTGACTGCTTACATGAACAAAATCATAAGATGTTTGTGACTGTCTAATGCATGTTTATATACATCTCTGAAGTAGGTAAATATATATATTTCCTGAACAGGAAAGATCTGTACAAAATCAAAGTGCTTCTCCAATTACCCTATAATGTAAGTGTACAATTCTGCTTCAATCTATAATGACACTTAAGTTTGACAGAATCTTGAGTAGGAGGATTCAACAGAGCCCATCTCTATCAATTCCTCACCCCAGGGTCTGGCAGGCCTCAAAAGGCTACCTGGTTGGCCATTCTTGAAATACAATTTGGCAATACCAGTCTAACCGAAGTGACTGCTACATGCGGCTAGCAAATCATCCCTTGTCTTATGACTCAATTATTCTCTGTAAAGTAGGTCTAATAGTTTATTCCTTCCAAAAAAAATATTGGCTTGATTTTGATATGAACCAAAATGCATTATTCAACATCTTGTTTAGTTATAATTTTTTTAATGGCATGATAATCTCAATTATCTGAAAGATGCTAAAGAAAAGAAAGCAACATTTAACTCTAGACAATGTAACAGAGAATTACAAAGACAACTAACCCCCACCCCACCCCAATGAGAATTAGCTGGCATGGAAGTGGTTAATTTTTGGACCTCTGGTAACTTTCCACTTGTTAGAAACTTAATAAGTTTCTTGGTATAATAAGTACACTCATCTTAGCTTTGATGTCTGGATAATGCAGTTTTACTAGTTCCTCAACAGGACTGAGTTACACTGTAAACAAAGGCTGCTATAAATCTAAAGACATCTCAAACACTTGGTTTAAAGGAAATAACTGTAAGTACCTGGTCACATACAATTTTCTAAGAGGTGGGTAAAAAAAAAATTAGCCGAGTCACTAAATTTAATGATGTGAAAGCCACAAAGAGAAAAAAGAAAGTGCATGCCCAAGACTTCACCATGTCTTAAGAGTTTAAAACTGATGGGAACTGGTATTCACAGTGTGTAACTGAGATACTGCATTAGCAAAATCTAAATATGCATTCTAATAATTTTCCGTTACTAATCCTTTTTAACTGAAGAGTTACAACAGAGAAGAAAGGAATTCTTTAAAACAGTAACTCCCTCTATTTTTGAGTTTTACAGAGCTACTTAGATTAGAAAAAAACAAAGATACTAAACAGTTTCACATTTGATGCCACAAGTTAACTATTTCAGAGAGGAATATATCTCAGGCATATTTTCTATTCTTTGTCAAGAAAATATGCTATCATAAAACATAGTGCAAACATCCATGTGCTTTTTAGAACTTGTCACCAGTCATCTAGAACTGTTGTGATTTGTTTAACCAAGACACTGGCTCCCTACCAGAGTGCCTCTGCTGGAAGGTAAGAGGCTGTTTTCTTTTTTAACACCTCTACAAAACACCCAGGGTGAGAAGTGGTAACATTCCAAAGATAGCACACATTTCCTAGGACCCAAAAATGCCTCCATGATCCCAGGATTAGTGGGTGCTGAAGTTCATACTGTAAACAGCTCCATCAGGATATATGCCTAGCGCATTACTCTCCCCTCCCAGCAACCCACCGGCCTCCCTATAGCAGGAAAGGTTCCTGGGCTATGTGAGCTGGACGTCTCTGTAAGACACAGACCTTCCACCATTATCCACAACCAAACCACCATCTCCAGGTATGAGAAAATGCAACCACTTCCAGAAACACCATCAACTAATACTATAAGGAAATCATTTCACAGGGAACTAGAGAAAGAAGCTACATATTGTTATGGTAATTTCCCCTAACCCGAATGGAATAGAAAAGGAATGGAAATACACATTGTAACAGTGCAAAAAGCATTTCCTAAACCTCCTTACTACCTCAACATCTTAAATTTCTGAGTAGTTTTCAAAGCTGTTGAGTTACATGGGTAGTTAAGCAGGTACAGGGCAAAACTGAGCTAGGGGAGGGAGTAAAAGGAAAGATCTACACAAAAAGCACTTTCACTGCGAGTCTCATGCCTCAGTTTTCCAGAGGAGTTAACCTTCTAAATGGGCCAGGAAGGATGGGATAAAAAAGCTCCAATAAAAGAACACTATTTTCTGGTCTATGAAAGCACTGACTTTTTAAACAAAATATATTTTTAAAAGCTCAATGCTCCCATTTTCATATTTATAAACACTAAAATAATTATCTGGTTTGTTTTTTCTTTTGAATACAGACAAATTAGAGAAGATGGAAATACAGAGTTTGAGGTCCTTATTCATCCAATGTATTCATCCATGAAATCTAGATGAGACTTAAAGTTAGAAATATGAAAAAATGACATATCAGGGCATTTAGCTGTAAACAGGAATTATAGTCTTGCTTTCGAACCTGATTGAGATATAACGGGTATCTTCATTTTCTGTTAATCAAATTTCTGTTGGAATCTGAAGCAATACCATTATTCTACCCATCTGTTTATAAATGAAGAATGTCTTATTATAGAATGACTACATTAGCTCTCTGTTTCCTGATCATCATGTGAGCTGGTGCCCTCTGTCACACTCTTCTGCCAGGATGTTCAGCCTCACCTTGGTCCCTGAGTAATGGAGTCTGCTATCTATGGATGAAGACCTTTGAAACCATAATTCCCCAAATAAACTTTCCCTCCTTTACAATTGTTTGTCAATTCTTTTAGTCTCAGCAGCAAAAAAACCTGACTAAAACAGAAATTGGTACCAGCAGTGGGGACCTGGCTGTGACTAACCTGACTATGTGGTTCAGAAGCTTTTGGAGCTTTCTGCAATTGGTGGGAGGAATTTTCAGATGCTTAGCAATGCAAGCTGGAAATGCTTTAGATTACTGGAAGTACAGCTTAATGGCCGATTCTGGTGGAATCTCAGAAGACCAGAATGCCAGTAGGACCGTGGACAGTGAAAACAGGGCTCAAGAGAGGTTAGAGGAAAAGGACATACTGCAATTGGACTAGAGGCCCTCTGTGTTATGTTCTGGCTGAGAAGTTGTCTGCATTTTGCCCATGTTCTGAGATTTTCTGTGAGGCTGATTTTAAAAGTGATGGACTTCTTAATCTGGCAGAAGAAATTTCTAGACAGCATAGCATTCAGGAAGTGGAACGGGTATTGATGGTGGCTTTTGGCCAAGTTTTTTTTTGTGATATTTAGGAGTACAAGACAGAGCAAAATGATTTGAAAAACTTAGACATGAAAGGCTAAGTAAAACAGGGGCTAAGAAAGTTGAGTCCTTAAATTACTGCCACTTAAGACTTTGCCCAGAAACATTGAGAAAGATGCCTTGAGGACATCTCAAGATCTGGCAAGACAACATCCATCTCAGACTCTAGGGAGTAAAAATGAAAATTCTTCTGAGAAAAGACCAATGGGGAACCCTTGCTTAAGGGGGCCTAAGAAGTTTTTTCAATGTCTTCAGTCACCCAGACACTCAGAGGCGCCGGCAGCCAGGGTTCACTGGAGACTTTACTACTGCTCTAGTTGTGACAGAACTTGGCCTCAACCACATGGTGCTGGTTCTGCAAGATTGCCAGAAGCTGAAGTTTGGGGGTCATGAGACTTCCACCAAGATTTCAAAGGAGGGCCTGAGAGGCCAGGCAAAGTGCAATAGAATTGAAGTCCCTGCAGGCAGCCCCTGAAAGGGCGAAGGGCGAAGATGTGAGAAGGAAACTGAAGCTGCAGTGGAGACCTCTGAGATTAAGAAATCTAGTAACGTGGGACATTGTCCTAGGAACGCTGCAGGATTGAGCAGAGACACCAACCAACAGATAGGCCACTTGGGCTGCAACCAACAAGGCCACATGGGCAGAGCTACACAAGCCCTTTGGACAGAACATTACCATGCCATCTACCCCAGATGCTGAATGTGAAGCTATAGGACTTGTTTACCCAGCTGGATTTCAGTCTTGCTTTGGTCCTATCCCTTATTTCTATGTCCTTATTTTTCTGAATGAAAATGTTTTCTCTGTACCTTTATATACTAGATGCTTGTAAATTACTTTTGATTTTCACAGGGGCTCATGATGTAAGCTTGCCCTGAATCTCAGAAGAGATTCTGGGCTTGAACATTTGGGCAATCTTGAACTGTTGATACTATGGGGACTCTTGGAAATGAAGAAAATACATTTTGCATTGTGAGATGAATGTGAGTTTATGGGGGGCGGGGCAGAGGTGAAATGTTATTGTTTGAATGTGAAGTGTTCCCCAAAAGCTCACGTATGAGACAATGTGAGAAGGTTCGGAGGAGAAATGATTCAGTTAAAAGAGACTTGACCCAATCAGTGAATCAACCCCTGATGGGATTATCTAAGAGGCAGGTGGGTTACAACTGAAGGT